TGAAGTGGGTCTGTGCAGTGCCTGGGGTCCTCTGCGTGTCTGGCTGGCTGATGCTTCAGCAGGCACTGTCTGAGTGATTCAGCATGCAGAGCTTCAGGGGTGCCTGAGGCTACAGCAGATGCTGGCTGAGGCAGCTTGAGACATGGGTCTCTGGAATACTTTAGAGCAGTGATTCCCAAAGTGGGTGCTACCGCCCCCTGGTAGGCGCTGCAGCGATCCAGGGGGGCGGTGATGGCCACAGGTGCATTTGGGGGTGATGAGTAACTGCTATTAAAATTTAAAAAAAATTAATTTCCAGGGGCTGAGTAATATTTTTTCTGGAAAGGGGGCGGTAGGCCAAATAAGTTTGGGAACCACTGCTTTAGAGAGCTGGCTGGTAGGGCCTACAGTGGGCACTGGCTAAGGTCATTCTGAGAAGGGGGCTGTTGGTACTCTGGAAAACCAACTGTCTGATGCTGCAGTGGGCATTTGCTGAGATTACTGTGGTTGCATGACTCTGGGTGTGCCTTGGGGGGGGGATGCCTAGTCAGGGCTGCAGCAGTGCTGGCTGTGATAGCCCTGGGGCACGCCGTGTAGGCTTTGCCTGCTTGCTAGAGCTCTTGTTTTGAGCTCTGCCCCCACTATCTATAAGGAGGGTAATGAAGGGTAACATAAACAATGGTGCTGGCTAGCAACTCTGATCCCAGAGAATTCCCACAGATCCTGGAGAGTTTCTTCAGTTCCCACACATTTGACAGGCATCTAGTCATTAGTTGATTTTTTAAATGTACAGTCTAAGTGCTTTTAAAATCACCTTGTGTTTTTTTCTGTGCCCCAGAGGAGGCATGTCTGCCTATGTGAGCCCCGCAATGATATCCCTCCTCACTGCAGGTCTTCCTGTCTGGATAGGGTTCACATGGGTACCACCTTCTCTTTATGATCCCTCTCATTTTGCTTTGCAAAAGTTATTCAATCAGCCCTCATTTCTTCAGGAGGAATTGTTCTATATGTAGGTGTATATTTGTGTGTCCATGTGAGGAGGTAAGTTTAGACTTTTTCTATGCCACCACCTTGAAGCCCTCTCTCGTTCCTATTGTTGCTAAGATTGGGTGAGTTCCTCTTTCCTGTGGTCAAATTCACTTATTTTTCTTCTGCTTCATCTAGTTTGCTGTTGGACCCTTCTAATACATTTTTCAGTTTAGATATTATATTCTTCAGCTCTATAACTTCTGCTTGGTACTTTTTAATATCTTATATCTCTTTTTTGAGGTTCTCACAGTGTTTTATCTATTCTTCTTTTGTTTGGTGGGCATCTTTATGACCATTACTTTCAACTTTTTATTGGGTAAAATACTTATCTCCATTTTATTAAAGTTTTTTTTCTGAGGTTTTATTTTGATATCACATTTGGAACATATTCCTGTGTTTCCACATCTTGATTGATTCTCTCTATTGGTGTCTATGCTTTTGATGAAACCACCACCTCTCCTGTTCTTAAAGTAGTGGCCTGGTGTAGATGAACCTTATTGTTCATCCTGCCCTTGCTCTGGCTTGTTTCTCAATCCTTTGGGTTTTTAAAAAAATTTTTTTATTTTATTGCTTAAAGTATTACAAAGTGTATTACATATGTCTCCTTTTTCCCCCCTCTTGCCATTCCCTCAGCCTCCCCTACCCCCCCCCCCCCCCCGGGCCTTTCTTTTTTTTAAGGTATTACAAAGAGTATTACATATTTCTCCTTTTTTTTTTCTCCCCTTGACCTTCCCGCGGCCTCCCTACCCCCCAGTGTCTTGGGTCCATTGGTTATGCTTATATGCATGCATACAAGTCCTTCGGTTGATCTCTTACCCCCTCTTCCCCAACCCTCCCCAGCCTTCCTGCTGTAGTTTTACAGTCTGTTCGATGCTGCTCTGCCTCTGTATCTATTTTTGTTCATCAGTTTATAAAGGTCTTTATTATCCATAAATGAGTGAGATCATGCGGTATTTTTCTTTCATTGGCTGGCTTATTTCACTTAGCATAATGCGCAATCCTTTGTGATTGTCCAAGCAGCATATGTTTATTTTTAATGCTCCCATTAGTTTAGGGTGTGACATGACCTGTCAGTGTCCCAAAGGGAAGAGTGCACCTAGATTCAGGCTGATTGGAAGTCAGATCTTCAGGCAGCAGATTTTTTAAAATGCAAATAAATGCAATCCTATGGGACTTCAAGCTTAAGCCCCCAAGCCACCAGAACCAGATGATCTGTAGGTGTTTGCTGGGCAGTAGTCCCACAAATTGGGGCTCCAGACAAAAGTATAAGCTTCTTTCTGGGAGATGCTAATAAGCTGTAGAAAGGCAGAGTGACTACAAAGATGGTGTCCCCCAACATCTGTTCCCTAAAAGTATAGCTTCTAATTGTGCCAAATCTGATTTTTGCTCTTATGGCAAAAGCTTCAAGACAAGAAAGTTTTTTTCAAAAATACTGGGTGTGTGTGTTTTAATCTTCTGTCTGTATAGTATCCTGGGTGTGGTGGCCTGCCACAAACTGTCTCTCTGATTTGTACAGTCTCATGGGACACAGGAACACAAGCACCCCTGGCTAATGGGTCTAGGCGATGAAGGGGTATCCCCTGTGTGGCAGCCACAAAAACCACGGTACAAAATGTAAAACATGGGTCATGGAACACATTTAAGAACTCCCTTCCGAGAGATGCCGGTGCTCTGGAGTGTGGCAGAGAAACAATGTGAATATAGTACCTGTCCTCTGACTTCTCTGGAGAGGATTACAGTCAACCCTTAGATGTTTGTTTCATTAGAAACCTGCCCCTCATACTGCACCTTGAATGTAAGCTAACAGGTCTCTCGCAGAAAGACTCAGCTCCTGGGTCTGTTGTCTTGTGCTCTGCCCTGGCAGTGGTAGTTGTTTAAGAACTCTTTCTCCCTGGGACACACATGTATAAGCCCGCTGGCCTCCATTACCAGTAGATACAGAGGTGTCCCTTGGCAGCAACCACAAAAATCAGGACACCAGACAAGGTTATATGGTCCTTTCTGGAAGATACCAGTAAGCTGGGATAAGGCAGAGGAAGAATATAAAGATTGTGTCCACCAGCTTCCATTCCTTGAGAGCACCTCCATAGTCCCCTGTAAGTGTGCCAAACCAGAAGCTTGGCCCTCAGGCCAAAGTTCCTGGACAAGCAAACGAGACTCTTCAGAAAGACTAGAGGTGTGTTTCAGTCCATCTTGGCAGTGCCCTTAGAGTAGCAGTGTGCCAAAAACTGTCTCTTCAATTATTACAGTGCCCTGGGACCCAGTAACATAAATCCCCTCGCCTCCAAAGCCAGACAATCATGGGGCATGTCCTGGATGGCAGACTCAAACACTGGGTCACAAAGCATAAAAACCAGAACAGCAGCAATGTTTAGGAGCTCTGTCCTGGAGACGATGGTAGTGTGGAGCACAGCAGAGGGAGAGTACAAAGATATTGTCCATTGGAAAAAGGAAAAGAAACAAAAAGAGAAAAAATAATGCTACCCATTGGCTTTAGGAAGGTAGAGGGAGAATAGGAAAATGGCATCCACCAGCTTCTATCCCCAGAGAGTATCCCAGCAGCTCATTTCCCCTCAGACCAATGCTTTAAAATTTTGCAAACAATTCTTTTTCTCTTTTCAAAGAGTTTCTGCACTGAGTCCTGGGGTGGGTGAGTCTGCATATGAATCCTTTAAGAACTCACCACAGCCCCATGTGTCTTGTGGGTGTGAGTCCTGCTTGTTTTCAAAGCCAGATGTTCTGGGTCTCATCTCAAGTGCTGCTCTTAAACATTGGGGTGCCTGATGTGAGATACAAATCCTTCACTCTTCAGAGAGAAGCTTCAGGTTTTATAGTTCCTTCCAGACCATTGGTCACTGTGCCGGGGTGGGGCTTATTGTGAGATTGTATCTCAGCTTTTCTACCCACTTCAATGTGGTTACCATCCTCATTTGCCTATTGTAAAGGGATTGCTCCATCAGTTTTTAGTTGTGTTTTTTTTTCCCCAGAAGAAATTGCTCCATATATAGCTGTAGTTTCAGTGTGTCTGTGGGAAGTGAGTTGAGGATCTTCCTACATCACCATCTTGAACTGGAACAATTTTTTTAAAAACATATTTTATTGATTTTTTACAGAAAGGAAGAGAGATGGATAGAGAGTTAGAAACATTGATGAAAGAGAAACATCGATCAGCTGCTTCCTGCACACTTCCCACTGGGAATGTGCCCACAACCACGGTACATGCCCTTGACCGGAATCGAACCCGGGACCTTTCAGTCCGCAGGCCGACGCTCCATCCACTGTGCCAAACCGGTTAGGGCTGGAACAATTTTTTAAAATTATTTCTGAAAACAGCCAGATTCTTCATTTTACTTTCCTCATCATATCCTTCTTTTTATGCTAATATATTTATTCACTTTGTCACTATTTTACGTAAATAACTTATTTTAATTAATTGCATTTATGTAGATGAGTACTTGACACAACCAATGTGTTTTTGGAGTAGTGGTGAGTTTTTCAGATTACATTTAGGTAGAGTTTGGTCTTTAGATTTTCTGCCAAAAAATAGCTAGTCTAATTTGTAGTATGTGAATTCAATCAATGCAGTTTTTCTTAACTGAACAAGGTGTCATATGTCCTATGTTAATCATTACTCCATTGTCATTGTAACTTCTCTTTATTTTGTTCCTACAGTTTACTTCCAACATGGATTGGAGTAGACCAGAAATTGAAATTTGAGCATTATTCATTAGATAAATATCTGATAATCCAATCACCATGTTTGATTTTGTGGATACCAGCCATAAATTTCTTTTTCTTGGGCATATGTTTCCTAAAATTTGTCTTCAGTAACATGTCATTCATATGAGTTTAATTTGTAATTTGTATGAATATGTTAAAGGAGTTCTATAAGCATAGAAATCACCAAAGATCAAAAATTCCCAGTCATAAAAATATTTAGCTGTCTTGTCCCAAGATTGTGCTGACTGTAACTATGTTTTCCTTTTCCTCAGGTTTAAATCCAAAAGCTAAAATTTCCAACATACCCAGGGAGTGTATCAGGCGTTATTTTCCAAAACGGAAGTGTTTTGTCTTTGACCGGCCAACAAAAGACACAAGTCTCCTAGCCAAAATTGAGAATATTTTGGAAAGCCAACTGGATCCTAAATTCCGGCAACAATCAGATAATTTCTGTTATTATATCTCCACCCATGCAAAGACCAAGACCCTCAGGGAAGGAGTCAAGGTCACGGGGAATCATGAGTCTTCTTTTCTAAAACCATATTTCTGAGTGGTCTCATCTGTGTTAATTATTTAATTACTAGAGGCTCGGTGCATTAAATCCAGTGGGATCGGGCCTAAACTGGCAGTTGGACATTCCTCTTACAATCCAGGACCTCTGGCTCCTAATTGCTCACCTGCCTACCAGCCTGGTCGCTCCTAACTGCCCCACCCCCACCAGCCTGGTCACCCCTTACTGCCCCCCCTGCCAGCCTAGTCACTCCTCACTGCCCCCCGTGCCAGCCTAATTGCCTGGTCACCCCCAACTGCACCCCACTGCTGGCCTGGTTGCCCCTAACTGCCTCCCCGTCAGTCTGGTCACCTCTTACTGCCCCCCTGCCGGCCTGGTTACCCCTAACTGTGCCCCCCACCAGCATGGTCACCTCTCACGGCCCCCCCCACCGGCCTGGTCACCCCACGCCGCCTGCTGTTCAATCGTTTGGTCATCCCTCACTAACCCCCCTGCTGGCCTGGTTGCCCCATGCAGCCTGCTTGTTCAGTCATTTGGTCGTCCCTCACTAACCCCTGGCTACCCTGGTCGTAGGCAACCATCTTGTGAGGGCACAAGGGTCAATTTGCATAATACCTCTTTATTATATAGGATAATATGTGGTTTTCAGTAGTTTTGTTTTATTTTATATAAAAAATGTGTACTTATAAATATTCATACTCCATAGAGAAATGTGTATGTGCTTTATAATTATCTCTTGTCATGTGATTAACAAATCTTTTCCCAAAACTCCCAATATTATCATTTATATCTTGGAATCCCACATTTAAGAAGAACCCCACCACTGATAATAAAACCACTAACTGGGTATAAAAACAGAGTATGTTGTATTTTCAGGGGAAGTCCTATATAGTAAGTGTTTTTTCTCAAAGAGACTTCTTAGGAGTTTAAACCAGTCCAAAATAAATACTTGTTTCTGAGTACCTGAAATCTATTGAAAGCTTAAGAATTAGGAACAATTATTATCTGAATTATCCTTCCTATCTCTTTACCTGTGTAGTATATTTTTCTTTTATTTGTGTTATGTATAATAATTATTCACAGACACCTCTGATTATGTTAGATAAAGGTAGGTATTTAACCTTTTTTTGTGATGTCCTGTAGAACACTAGAATAATGAATAAATGTGAAAATGAAGGTGTGATAGAAGTAGGTGGTGTGTGTGTGTGTGTGTGTGTGTGTGTGGTTTCAGAATTATAATCTTAGACTCTTGGATCTCACTGAGTGATAAATTTATATTGATCCCTGTTTCCTATTTTATTCAGGGTTGGGGACTCTGGTGGTGACTTACATAGATACCATCAATAAAGGATCAGTGCCTTGTTTGGAGAACGCGGTGACAACTCTGGCCCAGCTTGAGAACTCAGCGGCTGTGCAGAAGGCAGCTGACCACTACAGCGAGCAGATGGGCCAGCGAGTGATCTTTCCCACAGATACGCTCCAGGAATTGCTGGACCTGCACGCAGCCTGTGAGAGGGAAGCCATTGCAATCTTCCTGGAGCACTCTTTCAAGGATGACCAGAGGGAGTTTCAGAAGAAGCTCATGGTATTTTGTCTTGGTATTTGTCCTTACTAATTCTTGCCCTTCTGGGAGGATGTCTTCAGTTCTACAGATTCATCTCATAGCTCCTCTCCTATTCAGCATAAAGTAGTCTGCATTTTCCAGAGAGGGAGAATATTTACTTCTTTTTCTTCAAACTCAGGAAAGATATTAAAGATCTGTCTGATCTCTCAAGAAAACCAGCATTGGTTTCTCCTTTAGTGAATTGTGGCATGATTCCTGACCTCTTCAAAGTCATTTCTGAGCTGATTAATCTCCAGGTATATGCACTCCTATTTCTAGACACTTGATTTCCTTAGCATACTCTCTTGACAGGTAATTATTTATATTATTTTAGTTGTATCACTTTTATCAAAGATAGATTCACAGGATACTACAGTTACTAGGAACTAAAACGAATATATAATGCAATCTCAACATTTCACAGGTGAAGATGAAGCCCAGGGAGGATAAGAAGCTTTAACAGGGTCTTGTAGAGAGTTTTCAGAGTTGGAAATAAATTTGATTCTTGCAGCATTGATTGGATGCTTTTATTAAGAGGACCACAGAGTACCCAGCTAATAAATTCTTTGGAATTTTATCTTCTATGTTCCTTTCTCTGGTGACACCCATCTACATTTCCCATACAGGAAATCATAAAGAATAAGAAGGAGAGTTTATTGCTGAAGAATGAAGAGGCTTCTGAGAAATATTGCCAATATGTACTTGATCAGCTTTCAGTGGCCCTAATGGAAAGTATTTCAGATGGAACTTTCTCTGTTTCTGGCGGGCACAAGAACTACAGGAGAGCAAATCAAAGTCATTTCTGAGCTGATTAATCTCCAGGTATATGCACTCCTATTTCTAGACACTTGATTTCCTTAGCATACTCTCTTGACAGGTAATTATTTATATTATTTTAGTTGTATCACTTTTATCAAAGATAGATTCACAGGATACTACAGTTACTAGGAACTAAAACGAATATATAATGCAATCTCAACATTTCACAGGTGAAGATGAAGCCCAGGGAGGATAAGAAGCTTTAACAGGGTCTTGTAGAGAGTTTTCAGAGTTGGAAATAAATTTGATTCTTGCTACATTGACTGGATGCTTTTATTAAGAGGACCACAGAGTACCCAGCTAATAAATTCTTTGGAATTTTATCTTCTATGTTCCTTTCTCTGGTGACACCCATCTACATTTCCCATACAGGAAATCATAAAGAATAAGAAGGAGAGTTTATTGCTGAAGAATGAAGAGGCTTCTGAGAAATATTGCCAATATGAACTTGATCAGCTTTCAGTGGCCCTAATGGAAAGTATTTCAGATGGAACTTTCTCTGTTTCTGGAGGGCACAAGAACTACAGGAGAGCAAAGGAAAGGATTGAACGGCAATATTGGGAAGTACCCAGAAAAGGAGTGAAGGTTAGAATTAAGGGGAACATAGGGATACTACAGATTAAAGTCAAGAGGGTCTCCTGAAAATATGAGAGCACAGCACCAGTTGTGGGTAATATGAAAGTATGGGGATATCATGACTGCTTTAGCTTTTAAGGTCCACTATTTGCTTTTTCTTCCTAAGTAGAGTAGAAATGTCCATTCTCAAAAATGAGTATAAATTTCTGAAATTTATGAGAGAGAACAGAAATTATGCATTTCATTGTCTAACAACATGACATTCAGTGTACTATGCTTTGAGACTTTATGATGGAAAGCCAGAATCTTTGCACTCAAACTGATCAAAGTGAGAAAGTCAAATAAATGGACAATTATATACAATGGTAACATGTATGTACCTGTGACTCCGGGGTACACTGATGATGGTAATAAATGTAATAATAACAATACAATTAACATATCAAATTACTTCTAATAGTCACTACTTATTGGCAGAGTATTAAGCTCTTTCTCTTAACATTTTAATTTGACCATCCAAAATGTTATGAAACATTTATTTTCTTACCCACATTTTATAGTTGTGAATTAGGAGGCACAGGTAGGTTATATAATTTGCTTAAAGTTGCACATCTAGCAAGTGCCTAGGGAGAACAGCGACATAGATTAGAGTCTACATTTCACATAGGGCATATCCTATATAATAAAAGCCTAATATGCAAATCGACCTAACAGCAGAAGGACCAGTGTAATGACCAGTTGCTATGATGTGCACTGACCATCAGGGGGCAGATGCTCAATGCAAGAGCTGCCCCCAGCCCCCAGGTCCCAGACCAGCCAAGGAGGGTGCCAGCCGGGCACCCCACCCCCAGTCACCTCACAGATCAGCCCTGATTGCCTAGGGACCCTACCCGTGCACAAATTTTGTGCAC